CCCCCCCACCCCACGTGTGCCCAGCCTGCTGGGAAAAGCTGCCTTTTCTCCTTGTTCTCTAGTAACCCCTCCCAGACCCAGCCCGCTATGGCCGACGACATCGACTTCACCACTGGAGATGCGGGTGCTTCTTCCACCTACCCCATGCAGTGCTCTGCGCTGCGCAAGAATGGCTTTGTCGTGCTCAAGGGACGTCCTTGCAAAATTGTGGAGATGTCGACCTCTAAGACTGGAAAGCATGGTTTTTCTCCTTGTTCTCTAGTAACCCCTCCCAGACCCAGCCCGCTATGGCCGACGACATCGACTTCACCACTGGAGATGCGGGTGCTTCTTCCACCTACCCCATGCAGTGCTCTGCGCTGCGCAAGAATGGCTTTGTCGTGCTCAAGGGACGTCCTTGCAAAATTGTGGAGATGTCGACCTCTAAGACTGGAAAGCATGGTCATGCCAAGGTAAACAAGACTCTCACTCTCAGCCCTTTCCTGTTGGGCTTGGAAAAACTCCTTTGTACACTTACTTTTATACAAATAACCTCTTTTATATCTACAGCTACACGGAGAGCGCGAGCACACAAATCACGTGTCAAAGTCCTTGGATACATTTCTGGTTCTTCCAGTTATGGCATTATTATGTACATAATACCAGTGTGCCGGTGCTTCAGGGTGAATTTTCTGAACTACTTAATTTCAGTTTTACAGCAAAAGGGTGAACAGTTGGAGTAATATGCAAAAGCACACGTGCATATTGCCTGGGGAATCTTGAAACTTACATGGGGCTGACCACGCTTTATGAACTTTGTGGAAGCGCTCTGAGAACATAGCTGGATTACAGACTAGACCTGGAGGGAATCTGTTTTGCATTGAGGACCACTGACCCACAGAAAAATCAGTGAGGAGCACACATGAGAAGTGTGCCCCCCCTCCCCCCAAAAAACCCCACACCTTCTCTAACATGAGGGGGGCCAGGCTTGGAGATTCTGTGCTTTAGCCCCACAGGAGTGGTAGGGGGAAGAAGGGCACATTCAGTCCCCACTCCTGGACCAGATTTTTCCTAAATAAATATTTGGAAAATGTCAACTAGTACTTGTTGACAGCCTATGGGAGACAACTGAAGGTGTCCCTGATATATTAAATAGGTTTTGGGTCTTTCCAAGTGGCAGTTTAGACAAGGGTCTAGAATTAAGGTGCTGTGTGGAAGAAGGGCTCAGAGGTGGGGGGGGAGGGGATTATGTAAATGGCTTGCCTAAGACATATTTTGCACTAGTCCTTAGTATGGCTTCATTAGATTCCTCTATTTCTAGCTAACAGCCAAGTATGTCACCTAGAATAGTGGTCAGGAGCATCCACATCAACTTGATGTTCTGTGTTTGAAAGCTAACTGGCAATTACAACATGCTAGTTGAGTATTTTAAGTCTTCAGTATAGTTTCATACCTTAGTTGTACAAGCCTATGTATGTCTGTCTACTAAGCAATTGAAGCTATCAGCAATTAACTACAGATGCAAAAAAGACCTATAGTCAGGAATGGGAGCAATAAGGAAATCCATGAATTTATGGAGGTGCACACTTACTGCTTTAAGATGGGGTGGGGAACTGAGGGCCCCAGGGCTTGTCTGACTTTATCCCCTGAGGCTGAGGGCTCCCCCTATCTCCCTGAATTGGGGAGACCATGAGGCTGGAGCACATAAATGTACTAGGCTGGGCCCACTAGGCTCTGGTGTGTGATAGGGATATAGAGTAGTTGATTACCCAATAAGCCTAAGCTTATTGGGTAGTTGAGTTGACTACTTGAGTTTCTCTTCTCTCCCACCCCCTTTTTTTTTTTTTTTTTTACTTGCTAATAGAGGCAGCAAGGGAGCTCCCCAGCACAGTCTGTGTTCGGGGTGGGGAGGACAGGCTCTGTGGCTCTGCCTTTTGAATGTAATAAGAGCCACCTGGCTCTTAATACATTTAAAAGGCAGAACTGCAGCACAGGACCCGGTTCCTACTACCTTTAAACTGGAGAGCTGCAGTAGCCCCTTAACGACTAACTAATCATGTACTAGATACAATTTGTATCATGTACATAGTCATGTGTGCAGCCCCTGACTGATTTTTTTTTTCCTGTGGGTCAGGAGCCCCTGATCCAAAAGATTACACATCTGCTTTAAAAAGCTGAGGGTCTGATTACAGGCCTGGTCTACATGTGGTGAGTGGGTTGACCTTGCTATGTTAATCAGACCCTCAGGCCTGGTCTACATGTGGTGAGTGGGTTGACCTTGCTATGTCTTCCAGGGCTGTGTTGTATTACTTGTATTAATGGAAAATCTTTTCTGTTGATTCAGGAAGCATGTGGTATATGTGACAGCTGAAATCTCTTCTGTTTCAGGAAGCATGTGGTATATGTGACAGCTGTGCCACTGTAGTGTGGACATACCTGCCTTTTTTTTTTTGTTACTTTTTTGATAATTTCTTCAGGGCATCTTAGCTGCTGGTGGGCATTGAAGAAATTAAAACCAGTTTTTAAAAAGGCTTCTAAAGATACTAACCAGGATAACAAACTTATTAATTTGGGTCTTAGATGACCTGGAAGCAGCCCATATTTTGATGTTTTGGAGGGTGGACAGGGAGAGCATAACTTATTAACAAACTTATTAATTTAGGTCTTAGATGACCTGGAAGCAGCCCAGATTTTGATGTTTAGGAGGGTGGACAGGGAGAGCATAACTTAGTTGGGGTTAACAGTTTATGACCATGTTGGGCCTCTAATACAGGGGGATACGGACTTAAATCCCATATCTTTCAGGTCCAGTCAAAGCTAAAGTTTGTCAAGATGTATCTATACTAGCAAACTTCTTACTGTAGACTTGGCTAATACTGGGAAAAGAGATCTAAAATGTTAGAGCTTTTGCTGACATTGCAGTACCAGTTAGAAGTAACTTTTTTCACACTCCTAGTTATCATAGCTGTGATGGCAAAACTTAATTGTAGACCAGGCCTCTGTCTCAAAGCTAGACATAGTTGTAGAACTGAAATACCAACACACTTATTACCTTGCTGTCCTCCTCTGACAGATGTTTAAGACCATCTTCATATGTGATAAGGAAGCAGGGTACAAGCAGAACTTTTAATTTACTCATGGACTAAAGTTCTTGCCCCTCCCATTCAAATGAATCATGTTTATGTCTAAAAGGAACCAGTAACTTAAATTGTCTCCAGCAATGGGCTGCCAGTGACTGATCTTAAGTAGGGATGTTAAATTGTGTTTGTTTGATTAGTCAATGGAATTTTACTTGTTTGGGGGAGGAGTGAGCTAACCCCAATTCAGTGATGCCTCTTAAATGTATTAAGAGATGCTAGGCTCATACCCAGTCCCCCTGCTATGCCTCTGCCTTTTAACTGCTGCGGAGATGGTGTTGAGGGGGGAACATCTTTTAAGCCAGCTCCTCCCAGCACTGGCTCCTGTTCTCCTTCCCCCCCACCCCCTGCTGCTTCTGCTTATTGTATAGTTGACTAGTCGCTTACACTTTCTCCCCACCCTCTGCTGCTTCTGCTTATTGTATAGTTGACTAGTCGCTTACACCCCTAATCTTAAGTGAACAAACTAATTGCTCTTTACTACTGTTTTTGCAGGTCCACTTGGTTGGCATTGATATCTTTACTGGCAAAAAATATGAAGATATCTGCCCATCTACCCATAACATGGATGTTCCAAATATCAAAAGAAATGACTATCAAGTGAGTCTGGGTGCTAACAGTACTACTAGCTTCCTGTCACCATAATGACACATTTCAGATACAAGTAAACTAACTCAAGTCTTAAATTGCATGTCATAATTTTGTTATGGCTGTAGAATGGGGAAAAACATCTTGACTACAGGGGCTAGAAAAGACTTATTTTGGGCAAGACTTCTGGACTTCCATTAAAGCAGCACATTTATTCTTGGCTCGATCTGATTAGGCCTGTTCAATTATTTCAAATTGAAATTGACTTGAACCTTTTAGATGGCATTGCTCCAAAGTCATTCTGATTCTCCTGAATGCCCTGTTGAGGAGTATAGATGCAGGGAGATGGTTCACAAATTTCCCTTATCCTTCTAACACTTTGTGAAGTTACTGATATTTCAAGTAACCAGACTTCAAATCTCTTCCACCTGCCAGTCTGCTTTTCACTTAAATATATTACTGTTATCTTAAGATAGTGGCAAGGTTAGAAACTTCTATTAAAATTAAATCAGCATGAAATGAACAAATTTAGCTCAAATGGTATTAAAAAAGCAGATGTCTGGAAGTAATGAGTTCTGGCAGATGGCAACAAAATATGGTAGTCTTCCTTTGTCATTAGTTGATTTCTGTCTAGATGGAATGGCCTCCCCAGTTAGTACAAATTGGCAGTCGGGTCATATGGCTTGAGTACTATTGCTAAGTCTCCTCCTAATAGTGATGGAGTGTTCTTTATTGCCTTAGTGTGCCTCATGTATTCTGCAGCATACAGTGTACCTAGTCTAGATAGCAACATCTTCGGAGCTTTTGGTCCTACACTGCAAACACTAAATCACAATTTTTATGGGGCTAGAGCTTCTGTGCTTTTTAGGACTATTGTAGTTCTTCAGCTTCACTTGGAGCCCTCTAGTTACTGAAAAGACCCTCTCTAGATCTGTTAACAGATATGAAATTTATGTGCCGAATGTTATGTCATAATGAGTAGTTCTAATCTTTGTCCAAAGCTAGCTTCTTGATTACTATCATTCAAAAACTAGAAATAGTTAAACTATCATACAGAAAATATCAGTCTAAGATTTCCCCCTGATACTACTATAGAATCTTAAGTCTAAACTGCTGATACTAGAAGCAGCATACAATAGGATGGCCTACTGTCCATACTTGATGCACTGCATCAATATAAACTAGCAAATCTTGGTATTTGGACAAATTAGCAGTATGAATCTTCTAAAAACCACCTTCTCCTTGTAGCTTATCTGTATTCAGGATGGCTACCTCTCTCTGCTGACAGAAAGCGGTGATGTTCGTGAGGATCTGAAGCTGCCAGAAGGTGACCTAGGCAAAGAAATAGAAGGGAAATACAATGCAGGTGAAGATGTACAGGTAAGAACAGAGTGCAGTCAAGGTGCCACTAAAGGGCAAGTTTAAAGAGGTTCTGGACTTCCCATAAGATTGTGCAAAGAAGAGATCTGGGCCATTATTTATCACAGTGTGAACTAAGAAGCATGCCAGTTTCCACACTCATGAAACTTCTTATCCATCTTAGCCTAACTGTTTCCAAATGAACTTCCATAATAGGGATGGAAGCGACTAGTTGACTACCTGAAAAGCATATGCTTATTGGGTAGTCAGTAGTCACATGACTAGTTGCCCCTCCCCTTGCTGCCTCTATCAGCTTTGACAGCTCTTAGATTAAAAAGGCAGAGGTGCAGCAGGGGTAGCGAGCACCCCACTCCTTACCGACTAATGGAGTAGCTGATGGCAATGCCATCAACTAGTTGATCAAAATGTAACACGCCTATCCATAGCCCAGCTATGGAGGTAAAATGAAAGCTCTAATGAAAATGTGACTTATAAGAGCAGATGTGCACTCTTAGTATAAACTGCGTAGTTGCTGCTGCTTAAACAAGAGAAGGTGGGATAGGATTCCCTGTGGTAAAATGCCCCCCCTTAAAATATCAGTTATCCATAAGTTGTGTTTTTATTTTGTCTTCTAGGTGTCAGTCTTGTGTGCAATGAGTGAAGAATATGCTGTAGCCATTAAGCCCTGCAAATAAATGGGAACTCCAGGCTCGAGCAATTGCTCAGGTCCAGACAAACCACAGATCTTAAATTTGGTTCTGATTGTCACCAAAGCTATGGCCTTCACAAGCAACCTCATTTATTTTTCAATTGTTTTTCAAAATAGTGCTGGATTCTGGATGAGTGTTGCAGGCTGACTGGCAATTTTCATAATCACTGAAGTTTTAATTTGTAGCTCTTCTAACATGCCTGTAGACTTCAGTTCATGGGTCCAAGAAACTGATGAGGTTTCATTCATTGGCAGGTATTTTATTTGCTTGAGCAAAACATATTTTGTCTGTTTACACAGACAATGTACAGTGTTCAGGGGGTTTTAGATGAAGTAGTAGAAGGTATCTAGGATTATAAATGAACCTAGAACATAAATAGTATTTAGCTTTTTGACATAACATTTAGTTAGAACTGACATAATATAGAATTGTTTTAACTTGGACATTAATGTCCTGTGAATTGGGATTCCCACTGACCTGTGGGAGCCAGTCACATTTCTTAGACCATGAAACTCAAGTGATTAAAAAAAATGCCAATTAGCTTGACAAAGTCCTGGTGGCCATGTGCAACTAACTGTATTACCTCTTGTTATACTCTCCTTTAGCCAATCTGTTGGCTTACTTTAATGTAACTTTATAAAAATGGTGTCAAAACCTGCCTTTGGTGTAGGCAGGCAGACAATGTTGGTTGGATGTTACATTGCCAGATTAAGGGTGCACAAATAGGTGGGATTAGATGGTAAAGTGACAACTTTCACTTGAGGCCTTTGTCAGACTTTAAAAATAATAAAAATAGAAAAATGCAATTCAGTTGCTCTTATTGTATTTATATTAAAAGGAGTGACTAACTCCACAGGAATCTCTTGCAGTGCTTCCAGTATTAAGTGTAAATGTTCAGGGTTCTAACTACTTTGATTTTTGTAGCACAAGGAGTATAGGTTTTTGACCACTTTTGAAAATTAAAATTGTAGCATTGGAACTTAAATGTGCATCCTTTTCTTGTATAAAGGATGCTTAACTATTAAACTCTTCTGCAGTTGAAAAGTAAAATAGGCACAGCAGACACACACAACACAATCATGGCTCAAATATGGGAGTAGTAATAAGTTGCTACATCTAACCAATAAACATGGCAGAAGTTAGATAGCAGTTGCTCGTAGCACACTGCAACTGTTCCTGACTCATTTCAAAACAGGTTTAGGCATGACCTCTAACTTTTAATGGCAAACATGAAATGCTCTGCAAAACTGATAATTGTCACTAACTTAGCATCTTGTTTTGTGTGGTGCTTCTTACATTCGAATTTAATTCATCTGCTAGAAGTTCAAATTTTTCATATCTTCCAAGTTACATTTCCTTCGAATGAGGTTTAGCATAACTAAATCTCTTTAATGGACTTACAATTGAAGCTTAAAGAAATTTTGGAGCTGAGATGTTGATTCAAGAAGCTTAACCAAGCCAACCCTTAAATATTTAACATTGTCAATGCTACATGTCAGAGTATGCAGTTAAATATCTTATCAGATTAAGTTCTCAAGCACTATTTTTCTTGTCTGTACAAACAGATTAAAAATCTGTCCTACCACTTAATAGCCCTTCGAAGTGCAAAGCAAGTTTATAAACTAATTTGGGCCTATTTAAATATTTGGAATGCTGCCCTTGAAATATACACAATTCATATTCTCTAGCTTCTATTGGTTGCAGGAGCCATGACTTCATGGTACTAGACACTGTCCTAAAATAATAACTTAGTTGCTCTGCTCCAACACCTCTGCCATGGGGTGGAGAATTCCTACTGCTGTCCTTGAAGCTGAACTTTTATTTAAAACCAAAAAACTTGTCATAGTAGGGACAGTGAACGTGAGTGATTAAAAAGTAAGATATGGTGCAGGTATGAATTTGCCATACCCTGATAGAGGGGACAAGTGTCATACAACTCAAGCTAGTAATAAATAGCTACCTTCAAAGCACAGTACACTATAACTAGCTGTACAACAGGCAAATATCACCACATTTCTGCCTCACATGTAGGGCAGTGTGATTGAACTTCTTAGGTGGCACCTTTTTTTGCATGCAACAATAAACTTGATCCTCAAAACAAGTCTCTGGATGCTATTACGGGCTGGTACCTGTGTAAATTTGTAGTGCTTTAAAAGCTGAATCTAATCCTCACTATTGTTGTCCACTACCATGAAGTGAGGGGAAGGAGGGGGGGGAGGGGGGAATGGCAAGTACTTGTTAGGTTTCCAAATCACATAGTATGGATCAACAATAATCAATCCCCTTCATCTGGTCTTATGGGTAAGATGAGGTTCCTGCAACCAGTTAGGAAATCTGTCACTGACACAACCAAGCTAATGAAAGTTCTGGCTGCTATCTCAAAATAGCCTAGACAGAGATTTCTTAGGGCTAAAAGGCAGGTTTCTAACCATAGCCTACATTTTGCAGAATTGCAGGCATTGAGATGACACTACATCTCTCGAGTTTGTTGTGTTGATTGGGTACTAGTCTTTCACATGACTATCTATAACTTAACCACCTTCGTAAAGAGCTTTGAGAGCTATGAAAGTGTAATTATTAGGCTGCCATACACATGAAATTGCCTAGAGAAAATTAATAGTATCTCATACTTAATCAGTTAAGTTACAGTATTAGAGCCATTTCTTTATTAGCAAGCTATTTCAACTTACTGTCAATAGTTATATTTACAATGAACTTTAAATTTTCTACTAGAAACCGTTCAAATTGTTGCATCTTCCAGAAAAATCTCAAACTCAATGACAGTGAGTTTCTTACTCTCAAAGCTGCTACTTAGAACAAACTGCAAACTCTTAGCAGCTGCTGCAATTCCCCCAAGTTAAAAGGCTGAGAACTAGGAGGGTGTAGAAAATATTTCCATGCCTACTGTTACACTTTTATGGTATCAGTCTTTATAGGGTTTCTGTCTTCAGTTCTTTAAATGTACTGTAGGCTGGTTTTGCCTCAACTGTTAGTAAATATTTAACAACTTAAATGGACCCTTCTTAATTTTTTGCTTGATATGGTGGCTTTTTAACTAGACTATTGCCAGTTGAGCCATGATTTGAATGCATTGTTCTCAGGGCTGAAGTTCATTATTTTACCAGTAACTGCTTGCAAGTGTCTTACAAGGTTTTTCAGATCCACAATAGCTTTTAGCTTGCTCAAGATGGTGCAGTCTATAATCTCATACTCTATTCTACATAAGCTGTAGGGAATCACATTTGGGAATATGTCAAATTACTATAGTTAGTAAGCTTACTGAAGTCAAGCATGTTAAATATTAAATGGACTTCAAAATTCAATAACACTTTTGAATAATTGGAATGTAGCTTTTTAGAAGAATTCAGGTTTGGTAAAGAAGACTCAGTATGTCTTTACTCTTATGGCTGTCGGGTATCAAAGTGAGAATTTTATGTATCAAGACAATTTTAATGAAGGTATATATCTTAAAATATATTATGCTGAACATATGGTGGAATTTTAATTTTGCACAGTACATTTAGAGCTTCTTGAGTCTTATTTTAACATCTGTAGTCTATCCCTAAAGTATTTAGCTTTTGAGGGAGATTCTTTATTGTGGTAAATAACCAGTGTAAACTTAGAACACTCTTGTTTGGTTTGAATGCTTGCTTCATATTACTGTAAAATAAATGATACCCCATTATTCTCATATTCTTCTATATTGTATTATAAACATCAAGTACTAGTCATTGTATTTTTTTAAAAAGGGAGAGTGAAGTGGAGAGATGTTTTGATTACTGTATGTATGCAATGCCATCTTACTAATAGCAAAAAACCCTGTAAATTATTTTATCTGCTCTTCAGGGATGAGCAAATGGATCTATTGGTTATCAGCTGGAAGGATTTGAATATTTATATATTGTAGAATTTATATTTCCTTTTAAAGTCATAAAACCAATAACTTGAAAGGTATAGCTGTACATCCTTCATTTCTGTATTAGTGAAGTTCTCAGAGCTACTTGGAGAAATTTGTTTTGGCTTGCAAAAGGTTGTTGAAAGAAGGCTTTTAACATTTAGATGACGAAACTGACTCAATTGTTTTTATGAAATGTTTGTGCATTTTGACTTAGTTACAGTAAAAGTGTAGTGGAAGCTAAACTTCAGGTCCAGTCTTGAAATACTTTTTTTGATTTGTATTCACTACTGTTAGCAATACATATGTTCATTCCATGTGGAAAACATTTTTATTTAAACTAGAAGGGCTTATTACAATTGTATGGGGGGGGAGGGGAAGTGCTGACATTCTTGTCAAAAGAAATAAAATCGAACTAACATTTTATAGTGACTGTTTCTTTACATGTTATGAATGTAAATTTCCCTAAGAATAAAGAAATACCATAGTGATGGGCATGATATAATTCCTGATAAAATCAGGTTTTTATTCTTTTGTATGGTGGTAGGTAAAAATCTTCTTTGATGTTGGAAGAATATTTCCCTAACAATAATAGTATAGAAAAAATGGTGGTGGCTCTCAAGATGCTGGAGACTTCATAAGAATGGCTATAGTCATTACATAAAAGATCTATCTAGCCCAGTATCCTGTTTCTACAATGGTGAATGTAGCTGCTTCAGAGGGAATGAACAGATAATCATCACTGAAGGAGAATTCCTCATCTTTCCAGGGACAATAGGTCTCAGGCTCTGTTCAGACATGGGGTGGCAGGCTCTGCCCTAAGAACCTCCTGCTGCTAGACCTGGGCTCCAGTCCTCAACAGTCTCCCTGGTCCTCTGTTCAACCCTCAGTGCCCCTGGACCCCAATAAGGATTTAATTTGCCTTCCTCAACCCTCCTCTTCCCCCATCTAGGGTTTAATTTGTCCCAAGCCAAGCTGGGGCTGAATAAATCTATGAAAAGTTGATACATATGTTTACTAATGTGACTTTCACAACAGGACTTACTCGCTAGCAATAAATAAACTACAATGATTTGGAGGTGTATATGCACATACAGGCAGTCCCTGACTTACGCGGATCTGACTTATGTCGGATCCGCACTTACGAATGGGGCTTTTTCGCCCCGGAGCTCGCAGGCAGCGATCCGCCACCTCGACCTCTGGGGCGAGAAAAGCTGCTCCAGCAGACCAGGGACACCGGGAGCGAAGCCA